GGGAATTCATGCAGGGAAAAAAGCGGTAGTTTTAGGTCATTTTCAAGACCGTAATCATTCCGGCTGAGAATTTTTTCAAGATTTTCCACATGATCAGATTATCTATGGGAACGGTGCTCAACCGTAGGAAAATCGGCTTGAACTGAATTCTCGCATTACTGTTATGCTCAAGATCCTGATCAATCCGAATAAAATCAGCATGCAACGATTCAGGTTGATTCACACATTAGCCGAAATTAGTTCACGAAAAGATCATCCGGTTATATGCTTTCTTTTTTATTGGCCCATAGCAAAATAAGTGGAGCGCGAAAAAAAATAGCGCCACAGTTCAAATTTTGCAAGCGGTATTTTCCGTCCCGCACGCGTTTCGCGTTGTGCCAATTTCGGGCAAGTCTGAACCCGGAGAAAATTGGGGAGTCTAATGGAGCGCGGCCTTTCTGCCGGCGACAGGTCGAGAGAACCCAGTTGATCTTATTTGTTGTTGGTTGTTCTCCTTTGTTATGGTTGTGTCATGTGTGTGGCAGCAGGAGCAAAGAGCAAAATACAGCAAAGTCTCATGACAACAAACTTGTGGGGAATACAGAAGAACACATAATTTTATTTAAAAAAGATTTTTTACATTTTTCACTGATTTGAATGTTTTTTTTTACCATTTAAACCTGCATATACTGTATTCAATATAATCCTTATCTAGCCTTTTCAGATGCTTTCCAGTGTTGAAAAACTACAATCAGCAAAAAATAATTTAAATATTTTAAAAAAATTTACTGAGTAACAGGGAAACACTAGCACTTTTTGTTGACTTCTAAGCAATTTCTGCTCAGATTTGTGAGGGTAGATGTTCCAAAAAAGCCTAAAATGTTGAAGCATCACTAAGATTTTTAGAAATTAAACCTAAGATTTTAACAAATTTTACATTACTAAGATTTTTGCAAATGCTGGGTTGGAAGATTTTTTACAAATTAAACCTGGATATATTCAACATCTTCCTTTTCTGACCTTTCCAGTGTTGAAAACTGCAATCTGCAAAAAAATTTGATTGTTAATATCAAACATTTACTCTAACTAACAGGTGAACACTAGGACTTTTTGACTTCGAAAGCAAGTTTTTCTAAGTAATTTCTGCTCAGATTTGAAAGCATAGATGTTACATAAAAAAGCTTAAATTTGTTGGCATTGCTAGGGTTTCACAAATCACCTTTCAACATGAGTTTTGCTGCCGTCATGGGGGATTTTTCATCAAGAAATCACATTCATAACGAAAGCACATAATGTTCCTCAAAAAAGTTTCTTTTACAGTAATGGAATCGGCAAGTTGTTTGAACCAAGATTTTTATAGCATGTACCCTATAGCATTTCTTCCAGGACTTTGAAAAAAAAATTTGCTATGCCAAAAATGTGTTGTAATGGAATCTTACACATGGTCCAAACTGAGTTAAAGTTCCTACACCACTTAAGAAACTAAATAAGGGGTCAGAATTAATAAAAATAAATTATTCGTTGAGAACAAGAACGACTCCGAAACATTTTAAAACTGCACGTCAATTTGGTGCACCGAATTTGCTTGTGAACTTTTCTTACATCAATTTTAGGGTTGGAAATGTCTTTTTTGTAATTCGGCCTGAAACTTATTTTCAATGTTATCACTAAATGTCCCTATGTTGAGTCAGTGTCCGCATGTCGAGGTGTTCAAATTTGGGGGTCTAACTTTATCATTAACACTATGAAAAAAGTTTTAAAAATTTACCTCTGAATTTCGCCTGTGAACTAATTTCCATTACATGCATTTCTAGTAGTTTTTCTTGAAACGAAATTTGAATCAACCTTTGTGTGCAGTTCTTCCATGCGATGCAACGAAAATTCTTCACTTTTTGTGTTTTACGTTGACCTTATGTAATGCAGCATTTGAGATTCATCAATCTGTTTGAGGGGTCTGAAAATTGAATTATACCCTTTCATATTCCTGAATGGACAGACTTTGCTCGTGGACCAAGATTTTTGGCAAAATTTGGCGAGGTACGCTCCATACAAAAGTACAGGAAAATGCATAATTTCCCGGAGATTTTGGTCGTGTAAACTGTCAACGTGTGCCTCGCTTTTCGGATGCTTGGTACCCAGATAAATGGCTGGTTTTGATTTAAAGACAAGCTTCTAGCGAGGTAAAAACTAAAAAAAAAGGATTTCGAGCGTGGCAAATTCTGGATGGGTTGTAATTTTTTCAGAACTTTTCGAGATGACGTGAAGGATTGAGCTGTTACTTTAGGGAAGAGAGTAGAGGGATCTATTTTCGTACTTGAAAGCTAATTCTGTTATTTCCTCCACGAAAATTCCCGCGTGTTGAATAATTTTGTAACACTTCCTGCAGTTATTTTGGCTTCCGGTCAAGTTATAAATTATCGTCTGGCCAAGCAAATGTAATTTAATTTCCTCGAAGCTGAATTCCTCTGGAATTAATTTCCACATGTAAGCTGGAAATTTTGTTTTTTTTACTGAAAGTTTAATGAACTCGTGAGGTTTGCAATTTTACCACTGATTTTACTGATGATTGCACTTCAGTCTCGTCTTTGAAAACAGTCATAGCAATTGGCGAGTCGAAATTAAAATAACTGCATTGACAGATAATATTTTTGATTCTCGTGTAATCATTAGAAAGGATAAATAATTATTGCCGTCGAAAGAAATCAACTTGATCCAAGCTTTAAAATAATATCTGATTGAAAAACACATTGAAATGCAGGTTAAATATGGGTACAGTACTGGCAAAGGAGAGTCTCGAATGTCATGGGTTAAAATTGGAAGACTACGTTTTTTTTCCTTTACATCCCAGCTGGCGCAACAAAAAAAAAATGCGGGGTTCACCTGAGAAATTTCTTAACTCAAAACACTACAAGGATGTGCAAAAGCCCCGCATTTGCTTTAGTCTTTAAAAACGGATTCAATCCACGAGGCAAAAGAAAATACCAGATCTTTTAAAAGAAGTTGCTCTCGTGTGCATTTGTAGAAAAATATTACTTCCGAAGCCGCAAAAAGCTTTTTCTTTTTTTTTCTCGTCTCGAGACGAAACTGCGCATTTCAGACGAGTTTATGTTGGTCTTCCAGTTGAGTTGAAGGAGTGTTTTGGGCACTGGCCAGATTGGCGAAGGAAAACGAGCGTGAAGCAGATGGATAGGTTTGGGTTTCTAGCTGCAACCTCGTGTCACTTGCTGCGTCTGACAACGCATCCAGAAGCCATATCCTTTTCCTCCTCTCCTCTCGACCAACAATTTTTACCCAGAAAAAAAAATCCATGTTTCTGTCTGAGCACGTTATTTTTTTTAGCGAATTTTTTTTTCAAGCTGTCAGTGGGATTTCTTCAAAACCATTTGATTAGTTGCAATGCATTCATTTCAGTCATCCATTTGAGAAAGAAACAGGGAACAACGAACCTCGTCACCGGAAGTGGTCACAAGGGGTTGGAAAAACCCGGGAGTCTGGTCGTTTCAAAGTGTTTTAAAAACGTCTGAGTTGTTTTCAAATCGAACCTTCTGAAATACCGTCCATAATAAAAATGTCTCTTTATTTTTGCAAGATTAAGTTGAGCACAAATTAAGCAGCTAATTTCTTGATGTTGTCAAGAAATTAGAAGTATAGGCTTGAAGAAATGTTTTTCAGAATGCAAAATCGAAATAATTTATTTCAGCAAGTCAAAATTTTCTGAAGCATTATAAGTACAGAAGACAACTTTTATTTTTCATCAGAAAATTTTAACTCCCATTGTCTTTCCAAAAATTTAGAAAAAAGATAAGACTTCACCGCTACTTTTGATGAATGTATTATGCTGAGAAGTTCACATGGACTGGCAAAAATTTCTGCAGACCTGCACTGGTCCACAGAAAACTGGTCTTCATTTTTCTTGGGCCCATGGGTTAAAATTGTTCACAGAATTGTTGGCAGAACAGCAACGTTTCATAAAAATTTAGCAGACCAGCAAACCTTTTTCCAAGTACAGTGCCTGCCATCAAGCCCTCCACACAAAATGTATATTGCAAAAACTAATTTAAGAAGCACTGAAGCAGATATGCGGTGGAATGTCTTCAAGAAATTAAGAAATGATAAAGATTTTCTCAGAATGGATACTTGAAATAATTTCATTCAGCAGGTGACAATATTTTTAAAATTTACAATTTGGAGAATTTTTGACAAAAAAAGTAAGGTTGGCATTCTCCTGATGATATTTCAGACAAAATTTCCCCTGCTGAAATAAATTACAGTTGAACCTTGATAACTTGAAAGCTATCTTGAGTCAAATTCCTTCCTCACATTGAGGGTCACAGTGAAATAAAACATAAAACTTTCAATAGAAAAAGTTTGTTATATTTCACTGTGACACTCTCTGAATCCCCTTGGAAGCAATGCATTGAAAACCTGCATAACTCAATTTTTCTGAGGGTCTTCAGGATAATATTTATTGACATGTTAAAGATGAAAGGCAATAAGCATGTCATGGGTCAGTTGAACCCAAATCTGAAAGTTCAGCAGCTTGTCAACTAATTTAAGAAGCAATTCCAAGTCCCAGACTATTGCCAATTACAATATCCTTAAATTCCTCTCTAATTTTCCCTAACGAAAATGCTTGTTTGCCTCACTCAATTTTTCTTATTGATATATAAAGTTTGACTTGAAGATTTTTCACTGTATTTCAAGTATTCATTTTGAAAAAAACCTTTCTTGAAGCCCAGCTTTATCCTTTTTGAAGACATTCCACTAAAGCTGCTCATCTGCTGGTTCTCAAATTAATTTTGAGAACCAGCAAAGCAGGAATTGCTCAGACAAGTTCTGGTTTGAGGGCTTCTAACCAGTATTTAGGTAATGTCCGCTGGTCTGCAAATTCGCCGGCCCGAAAATATTCCCGAACACTGGCTTAGAGAATGTTAATACACTGTACATTAGTAGATACGGAAGAGGAGAGAAAAGTGAAAAGAACTGCATAAGTTTTGTGTGGAAGAATAGTCTATGCTTGCCACCTGTGAAACCGTGTCGAGGGTATTTTTAAGCCACGTTTAAAACGAGGGAAGGGATGGTACACGATTTGTACCGTCTGCCACCTGACGCATGGAAAAAACGTGGGGTGATTAGAAAATGTCGCGTGTCTGAGTGGCTGTAAACCCCCGAATGGAGGGGGTTTCATTTGGGGGTAAGTTCGTCCATCATGGCGTCACTCTGAACATAAGATCCCTTTCGTCTTACTCTTAAAATCAGGGCAAATGGGAAGAATTTATTGTTTGAGATTCGTAGATGGTCACTTTGAAATTGATTAACCGTGATTTTTATTTATTGTGCACGTCGAGTTTTCGAATAAATTATTTGAGCATTATACTCGGAAAATAAATTTTTATTATCCGAAATTAATGTCATTGGAACATTGGAAAATTATGAATTACAGTATTATACTATTGATTGTTGCATGAGATTCATGGATAATATCAGCGCAAAATTGATAAACCTCGATTCAATTATTTTTTTTTGCGCGTGGAGTTTTCGAGGGAAGGATGTGAGCATAATTTAAGAAAATTCATCATCAGTGTCCAAGTGAATGAATGCAAATTAATTTCTTTGCATTGGAAAATATTGAGATAAATACCGAACGGTACTGAGAAAGTCCATATGAAGTTAAGTACTGTACTGATATTTTCTCGGTCGAGTTGAGTCAGAAAATGACGTGAAAGAGTGTGTTATTAAATTTAATTAAATTTATTAAATTTAACATTCATGAAATTCAGTTCTGTTAATCGTTTATTCTTCAAATACTTGCTCTTCAGATAATGGCGAAACTAATAATTCAAATTAAATCAAAGACAAGACAAAAACAGTCTAATGAGCTAGAGAAGTGCTGTTGATAAATTTGCAGCGTTTAGAAGTGCGA